GAAGGATTTCGGCGTACGCGCGCGACGACGCGCGCGTCTGCACTTCGTCCCATTTTTTGGCAAAGGATTCTCGCGACGGCATACGCGCAAGGGCGTTCGACAGATTTCGACATGCGCGCGCGCGAAGCCCGTTTGAGTGCATTTTGTGAAAATCTTGAAAAACCGTTGGTTTTCTTCGGATTTCGCAAGAGCTCGCGCGGAAGTTTTTTTAGCAAATCAGTGTTGCGAAACCATGTGTTTTTATGTGTTTTGAAAACTCGATTGCGAAATCCTTCCGGCACCGAAGGTTTTTGAAGGATTTCGGCATGCGCGCGCGACGACGCGCGCGTGTGCACTTCGTCTCTTTTTTGTGCAAGGGATTCTTGAAAAAGTGCTATGTTAGAACAACACATGTCACCGCATAGTGTGTTTTTACAAGGGAACCTCAGGGGGGGGATACCGGTTGGCCTGGGACATTGTGATTTCATATTTAGGATGGACACGTGGTCCGAATCATATATGAATTACATACCCGAAAGGTGACGTGATAACGCTGGGGGGAGGGTAGAGTCTATTCTGTTTCAAGAAAGGGGAATTCACTTGCCGAACTTGAAGTTATCAACTCCACTGCTCGCGCAATCATCCCACCCACCCACCCGCAACTTGGTTTGCAAAACCCATGCGGGACCGAGCACAGACATCACTCCGGGGTCGTCTTGGAGCCCTCGGGGGCGTCTCAAGAGCGCCCCAAGAAGGCCAGAGAAGCAAGACGGCCGACGACGACGACGACGACGACGACGGCGGCGACGACGACGACGCCGACGTCGACGACGACGAAGACGACGACGCCGACGCCGACGACGACGAAGACGACGACGACGTCGCCAACGAAGACGACGACGAGGGATGGAGGACGACGACGCCGACAACGACGACAACGACGACAACGACGACAACGAGGGAGGAGGGAGGACGGCGACGACGCGAACGACGAAGAAGGAGGAAGGACGGCGACGCCGACGACGACAACGACGAGGGAGGAGGGAAAACGACGACGAGACGACGACGACAACGACGACGACGACGGCGACGAAATAGGAGGGACGACGACGAGACGCCGACGACGGCCGACGACGACGACGACGAGGGAGGAGGAGGAAGGACGACCACGGCGACAACGACGACGGAAACGACCACGACGCCAAAAAGGACGACGACGACGAACACGAGGAAAGACAGAGGACGACGTAGGCGACGACGACGACGATGCGGGAGGAGGGAGGACGGCGACGACGACGACGACGACGATGCCGCAAGAGCGCGCGCGCACGCTTTTGTTGAAAATCCGTGTTGCGAAACCTGGTGTTTTATATATATATATATATATATATAAAGAAAAACAGTTTTTTGGACGCGCGATGTTGAAATCTTTCCGAAACCGATGGGTTTTGAAGGATTTCGGCGTACGCGCGCGACGACGCGCGCGTCTGCACTTCGTCCCGTTTTTTGCAGAGGATTCTCGTGACGGCACGCGCGCAAGGGCGCTCGACAGATTTGAAAGAGCGTGTTCTACCGCTGCTGGCGGAAAACCGGGGGGGGTCACTACCGGTTCGAACCCCTCCTCCCCCCCCCCCCCTCCGGAAAACCGAGGGGGGTCACTACCGGTTCGAACCCCTCCCCCCCCCCCCCCCCCTGCTCATCATGAAAGGGGGGGGGTCACTACGGTTCGAACCCCCCACCCCCCCCCCCCCCTCCGGATCCGGAAAACCGGGGGTGGTCACTACCGGTTCGAACCCCTCCCCCCCCTCGAAAACCGAGTGGGGGTGCGGACAGTGGCGGGGACGGTGTTGGTGGGGACAGTGGTGAGGGGATAGCGGGACAGTGGTGGGGACAGTGGGACAGTGGGACAGTGGTGGGGACGGTAGTGGTGGGGAAAGTGGTGGGGACAATGGTGGGAACAGGGGGGGACAGTGGACAGAGGTGGTGACGGTGGTGGTGGGGACAGTGGTGTGGGGACAATGGGAATGAGGTGGAAACAGTGGGACAGTGGAGGGTACAATGGTGGTGGGGACAGTGGTGAAGGCGGTGGCGACAATGGGACAGAAGTACAGTGGGGACAGTGGTGGGGACAGTGGGGACAGTGGTGGGAACAGTGGGACAGCTCAGTGAGACAGCGGAGGAGTCAGTGGGACAGTGGGGACAGTGGGGATAGTCGGGCAGTGGTTGGGGCCGTGGAGACAGTGGGGAGAGTGGAACCGTGGTGGGAACAGTTCTGGGGACAGCGGGGACAGTGCGACAGTGGTGGGGCCACTGGTGGGGACAGTAGGGGCAGTGGTGGAACCAGTGGGGACAGTGGTGGTGAGGACAGTGGTGCTGGGAACACCAGTGGGGGATGTGATGCGGACGGTGGTGGGGACCGGGAGTCGTTTGCTGGCGGTGAGTAGGGGGGGGGGGGGGGGGGGGGGGGGTCGAACCGGTAGTGACCCCCCCCGGTTTTCCGGATCCGGAGGGGGGGGAGGGGGGCGGGGGGGGGGGGGGGGGGGAGGGGTTCGAACCGGTAGTGACCCCCCCGGTTTCGAGCGGGAGGGGGGGGGGGGTGTTAGGGGAGGGGGGGTTTTTGCCGGGGGAAGGGGGGGGGGGGGGGGAGGGGTTTCCAGCAGGGGGGGGGGGATTTTCGGAGGGGGGGGGGGGGGCGACCCCCGGGCTCCGGAGGAAAAGGTTGGCAATTTTCCACAGTAAAGCGGCGGTGGATCACGCTCTCTCACAGATTTCGACATGCGCGCGCGACGCCCGTTTGGTAGCATGTTGTGGAAATCTGGGAAAACCTATGATTTCCTAAGATTTCGCAGCAGCTCGCGCGTAAGTTTTTTAGCAAATCAGTGTTGCGAAACCCTGTGTGATAGTATGTTTTTTGGGGAAAATCGATTGCGAAATCCTTCCGGCACTGAAGGTTATTGAAGGATTTCGGTATGCGCGCGCGACGACGCGCGCGTGTGCACTTCGTCTCATTTGTTGCAAGGGATTCGTGAACAAGTGCTATGTTAGAACAAAAAAGCACCGCATAGTGTTATTTTTTATATATATATATATATATACATATAATATATATATATTATATATATATATATATATATATATATATGAAGAACCTCAGGGGGGGGAACCCGGCCCCCCTGGGATAGTGTAAATTCATACTTAGCGTGGACAGGTGGTCAGAATCATATATGATTTACATACCCGAAAGGGGTAGCGATAACGCCGGGGGGTGGGGGGTAGAGTCTATTCTGTTTTTAGAAAGGAGAATCGTTGTGATGCAACCTGTAGGTTGCAATTAAATACCCTGCTCCGCGCCTGACCACCTCCCATGCTCGTGCACATAGCCCACCCGCCAGTCCACAGCGTGATTGCAAAACCCATGCGGCGGCGCTTGCGATGGCTGCTTGGCGCTGGCTGGCGCATCACCGCAGCCGCGCTTGCGCGCGGAGGCTCGCGCGCAGAGCGACCGGCTAGTCTGGCGCGACCGACGCGGCCGCGTTGGCGTTGACCGCGGGGCACTCCCCAGCGCGTCGTGCACGCCGCGCTCACGCTCGGGCACGCCAGTGCGAGTCGGTGCTTCGGGCGGGCGCGGTGCCGTGGCGACGTCGGCAGTGGCAGACACGATGGTGATAGTAGAGATGCTGGCGACGAAGATGACCGTAACGACGGCCGGGCCACAGACGGCGACGTTGCTGATCACGCCTGTGACGACGATGGTGTCCACGCGTCGGCGACGAAGATGTCGGAAGGACTTCGACGTGCGCGCGCGGCCGACGGGCGCGAGCGGCCCGCATGATATTGGTTGACAGGGGCTTTGCCCCCCTAAAGCACGCGCGCGCTGGTGCTCGAATGACTTCGACGTGCACGCGCGGGGAGGCCCGTTTGGTCGCAGTTGGTGGACATGTCGAGGAGCATACGATTATCTCAAGAATTCGCAAGGGGGCGCGCAGAGCAGTTGCCTTGAAAAGTCATGTGGGAAAGCCAAATATGTTTTACATGTTCTCGGGATACTCGAATTCGAAGACGTTGCGGGAAACTGCGGTGTTTGAGTGATTACGGCATGCGCGCGCGACGACGCGCCCGTGTGCACTTCGTCCAAGTTGTTGCAAGGGGTTCTTGGACGCTGAAAATGTGTGACCAACAAATGTGTTCGCGTCGCATCGTGCGTTTTGTATAGGACGGTGGGGGTGTGCCGAACCCGGATTGGCTGGAATGGTACGACTTCAGATTCAGAATCAACGATGGAGCAGACTTGCACATCCCCACGGGGCGATACTCCTGGCCTCGGGGTGATGGTGGGTCCTACCTCCTGCTTAGAAAAGGGAGCATGCGTGGAGCAACCGATGTGGCGGCGACGGGGCAGCGACGGGGTGGCGACGGCGACAATGTAGCCCTTAGAGCGGCAGACAGCCCCAGACGACGAGCGGCGACGAGGCGGCGACGGGGCGGCGACGGCGACAGCATAGCCCCCAGAGGCGCAGACATGCCCAAACGACGGGCGGCGACGAGGCGGCGACGGGCGGCGACGGCGACAATAAAGCCACAGGGGCGCAGACATGCCCAGACGACGAGCGGCGACGAGGCGGCGACAACGACAACATAGCCGCCAGAGCGGCAGACAGGCCCAATTCTGTTGGGCAGAAGTAACACCACATAAATACAAGCATTATCTGGGGAACCTTTATGAATAAGAAATCGCGCTTGCAGATTATGACCCAGTCATCTTCTCTATCCGCAGTGAACGATTCTCAGCTGGCGGCCGGGGGGGGGGGGGAAGCGCCAAGCCACAAGTGAGCCGCAACCAATTCCAGAATGGTGGTGGGAAAAGGGCCAGGCATCCAGTTCCCACGGCTGCCCCACCAACGAAGCTTCGGAAGGTGGCCAGAAGCTTTAAGGCTAGGGCCTGCCAGCCTGACGGGTTCCACCCGAAACACGTGGGCATGAAGTCAGATGGTTGCCTCGGCGTAAGAGGCCATCTGCACACGCTGATGGCCATCGTAGGTGCGGCTCTATCATGCCCCCATGAATTGCAACTGTCTCCTACAAAGAAGTATTGAGGAGGAGGAGGTCGGCGTTGCAATTGGCACGTCTTTTCATGTGCGAGGATCCACGGGAAGCTTGGAAGCAGGCGCTGCAAAGAATTAGCAAGGGAGCACGGTCTAGCACCCCCCCCCTTCAGTGCCAGCCAAGGTAAGTCTCCTGAGGACACTGCCTGGCGCCAGTCGGTAAGAAGCGAACTCCAATCAAGCCAAGGCAGTCACTATCTAGCACGTCGCTGGGACTTGACGAACTTCCACCACATGGTGGATCTTTGTGTCTTGTATGGGAACGGTTTGAAATGTCATTACCCTCCGCACGTCACGGCATCCTCGCTTCACATCTGCAAGTGGACGAGAAGGGTACGTCTAGACCGCTGCTATTCATTCTCGGGTGCATCCAGAGCGTGGCATCACGGCCAGGGCTCCACCTGCCAGCTACGGGCGAACATTTACATTCTGCCAGCGATTTTAGCACCTCTCGAGGATTGACTCAGCAGCAGCCTCCACATCGATGACCTCACTCTGTCCAGCTATGGCTTCAACATGACGCCAGTGTTGGAGAGCCTGATTGACTTAGCTTACCAACTTTGACACCAGCTTTCTGAACTTGAATTGACACTCGCGCTGCCCAAGATCCATATAGAGAGAAGCTCAGCAGATCTAGGATTCAAAATAAAAGAGACTCTTGGTGAGTTGGCTAGCACTCCATGCTGGAGAGTTGAAGATCTAGAGATCGACTTCGTGGCGGGAAATTCAGCAAGGTGCGCGGGGGCCAGAAAGTGTCGGAGAAAGCGTTGGCTCACCCCAAAGCCAGAACCAAGAAGCGTAAGGGCCTCCGAGGCAAGAGATCCCAGGCCTCCGAGAGCAGGTTCGACCTCACAGGAGTTAGATCAAAAATTCACCATGGGGTTGCCACCTCCGGGCTAACACCTCTTGAGATACACACGTTGCGACCTCTTTCAGCAGGTGCTTCTCCTTACCTTCTTAGGCTAGGGCAGTCTTATCTTTGGTGGAGCACGATGGGTCCCAAGTGTAAGGGCCCTCTATACTTGGCAGGGGCTTGCCTGGAAAGATAGAGTCTCCAATTGTGGAGGGCGACTTCACGGCGACATGAGTTGGAGGGGCACGCTGACCAGCGCACAGTCAAGGATTCAAGGGGCGCGTTTCAAACTGCCCAAGACAGGCTGAAGATAGCACCAAATCCAGGCTAGGGAAGGTACGTGGTCCCATGTCCCATGTCAGACTCTGGCACCATGGGTGGATTTGGCAAGCCTTGAGCCCGACACACCCGGTGAGATCGCAAGGCGAACAACGCAACATAACGGGGACACCATCTCGAGGTGTCTCTCGTGGCCTTTTTGGGAAGCAGAAAAAACGCCATCAACACAAACTTTTGGCGCTCCACGCGGATTTCTTGGATCCGCCAGGGGCGGCGCCGGAGGCGCCGCCGGGGGGCCCAGCGCGGATCCAAGAAATCCGCGCGGAGCGCCCAAAGTTTATGTTGATGGCGTTGTTTCTTCTTCGATTTCTGTCTGAATGAATGGAGCACCAAGTTTAGCCATATGCAATGACTGTGACTGTGGTCCCTGCAGGGAGCCATGTAGCGGGCCAAAGCCTCTGGGCAGACGGCCTTAGGCTAGGGCTCCAGCGTGCGGGCAAACATTCGCCCTTGAAGCAGTCCCAGCCCTGCAGAGCTGTTCTTCAGTGGCAACCATACCACTGGTGCCGATCTTGCCAAACAGGGATTTGCCACGGACTGCCTGTGCACGCGTTTTCAAGAAGCCCGAGATGAGCACCTCTCTGAGTTTCAAGAAGAAGCCCTAGCACAAGGCCCTGACAACCCCAGCTTTCCAGACTGTGGGCCCCCAAGCAGGGCTTCGATCCTCCCGTAGAAGACTGACAGCCGTCGCACTTTGACCAGGACGAGGCCTGCCCCGAGGGCAAGTTCCAAAGAGACCTCCCTAGTTTCATTGACGGAGGCGGTCTGAAACCCGATTTTCTCAGAATTAACTACTGGAGCAATAAACTCAGCTGTACAACTGCGGCCTGACGGAAGCCTGCTTCGAGCTGCCCGTTCCCCGCTGCACTCGCCCGCCGTGCAAAATTCTCGGGCCACGCCGAGCGTGGCGTGCTGAGCGCTGCTGTCGGATGGTCCGACCATCCCCGAATAACCCCAACTGCGGCAGACTGTGCCGGGCTCGTCAACAGGGTTGGCCCATGCCCTCGGCCTGAACGGCCTCTCCCCTCTGGGGGGATTCTGGCGGGCCATGGCTGCACGTTGAGGCACTGGAGGCTGGCACAACCTCGAGAGGGTCCAGGCCGACAGGGAAGTCTCCGAGGCGAGCTCGGATCAAGACGAGCTCTACGGGAGCCACGCGGCCGGCCGGCACGGAGGCCAAGCGGCAGCCGGCCCCAGGATGACAGAAGCCCAGGCTGAGCAACACATGGTCAGCCATGCCATCAATACGAGGCTACTTCGAGGAGCAGGCACGGTGCTGGAATGCTGGCCACCGCGAGGCGAGCTTTATTTTTTGTTGGTCCGCATGCGGCAGAATGCAATGGACAGTGCCCCATTACCAGGTTTGGGCCAAGAAGGCTGGATGGTCTACAAACGTGGCCGCTGGCCATCCGGCGGGACGGACGATGACGCGGTATTGGAAAAGGAGCCGGAAGAGGAGGGGGACAGAGAGAGGACAGAGAGAGGACAGGCGCGAGGCGAGCTCTATAAGTCCCTTGTACGATCAGCCCGGGAATTTAAGGGTCGATCTTTGGTAGATCCCCGCCGGCATGCATGGGCGGGTGCAAGTTATAGGTGCGAAGCACGTTTCGCTGACGCTGGGCCTAAATGGCGGGAAAAGTCCTCCTCCTCCTCCTCCTCCTCCTCCTCCTCCTTCTCCTCCGCCTTCTCCCCCTCCCCCTTCCCCTCCCCCTCCTCCTCCTCCTCCTCCTGCTCCTCCTCCCCGTCCTCTTCCTCCTCCTCCTCCTCCTCCTCCTCCTCCTCCTCCTCCTTGCAGGGCTCCGGCAGGGGCGCCGAGAAGGACATCAGAGGCGGCCCGCTCCCACAGACACTCCCGCGAGTCAGGGTGGGCAGAAGGGAGCCATCCTCCTCCTCCTCCTCCTCCTCCTCCTCCTCCTCCTCCTCCTCCCCCTCCTCCTCTCCCTCCTCCTCCTCCTCCTCCTCCTCCTCCTCCTCCTCCTCTTCCTCTTCCTCCTCCTCCTCATCCTCCTGGGCAGAAGGGAGCCATCTACCTGCGCCCTTTTGTGATCCATGTGGTGGGTTCGCATCGGGCACGAGGCGAGCCCAACAAGATCACAGGCCCGCGTGCCAGGAGCAGTGTCGTCCGAGCTTCTCAAGCTCAGGCGTTGTTCGGTCACAGGCACACCGCTGCAATGGCCAAGTGTAGGGGCAACATAATCAAGTGCAACAAGTAGCGGGAGCAAGTTCGGGGAGTATGGCGTCTACGCCCCTCCCCCCCCAAAAAAAAGGGGTTGGGCTGACTGTCGTGCTAGCAGCTCAGAAGGGGTGGGGGGCGCTAACGCCAAAGCTCCCTGCAGGGCCGCCACCTGCGAACCTCCTTGTGAAAGTCAAGGAGGCCAAGCCGGTCAAGATTCACAAGGTGCACGTAAACGAAAAGTTTGCGTGAAAGGCGTAGATAGAAAACCTTCAGGAATGCATCCACCGCCATAAGGCTCGCCTCCGTGATGTCGGATACGCATCCAGCAGCGACGACATGGACAGGGACTAAGAGGCGCGGGTAGGGCTATATGGATGAGAGAGCTTCGTCCCTTTCATACACTAACTGCCTTTAACAGCATATAGCAAGCCCTTCATCCATAGGACCAGAATTTCTTCGAGCCATCACGTTTTACGTTGAGTGGTATCTCTGGGGTGCTCGTTTACGGCCTCTTTTTCTCTTTTACGTTAAGCGGGATCTCTGGAGGTGCTCATTTAAGCCCTCTTTTTGGATCTGCGGTGGCAGCCCCTTACCAGTGAGCGGGAGTTCTGGTTGTTTCGGACCAGCAGCGCTTCATAGCAATAGTAGCTTGCACACCACGCCGCCGCCAACAGGCGAGATCCAGCCCCTAGGACGATGCAAAGAGTTCAAGTCCAGGGGCATAGGCACGGTTCCTTGTAGTACCATGGCCTAGAGCACGATGAGGTTACAATGTCCTACATAGGGAATATGATGGGGGGGCGAGGATGGTAAACTTGATCGGTGGTGTCAGAAGCAAAGCAACACCTGTGCCCTGCGTGAGCTCGATGGCTTCCCACTTCGAGGCAGATTTTCGCTCGGCCTCGATGCGAACTTGAGCTGCAGGGAATTCTAGCAGAGTGCAAAGCTGTTACACTCTGTGCGCCCCCATCCTGGAGGGGGGGATGCGCAGGTCTGGCTGGGCGGGGGACGCGGAGTGGAGGACCCTCTCTCTCTTCCTCCCTCCCCCTCCCCCTCACGGTAAGCCTGAGCTTGCCTGCCTAGTGCATGGCGCGCTGCTGCTGCAGCTGCTGCTGCTGCTGCTGCTGCTGCTGCTGCTTCTGAAGCTCACGGACCCCGCCGCCTGTCTTGCCTTGTCCCGGGGGGAGGCGCCCACCGTGCAGAGCGGCGCGCAGCGAGGCGCAGCCCCGAGGCCCCCGGGGTGGGAAGGCCGCGGGAGAGGACCCGGCCGCGGGCCACGGTGCCTCGGGCTCTGCACCTGCAGAGGGCCAAGGCCCACGCGGAGCGCGGGCCAGGGCCGCGGGCCGACGTGCGGGGGGAGGGGGGGCGCGCCGCGCAGGCCCTGACTACACATGTCATCGGTTCCATTAGAAGATCCATAATAAGATCCATACGTAGGACTCATCGGAGAAACAATCGGATTCCTGAGGGGGTGTGCAAGAGATGCCGAAGGCATTGACCTGCGTGCACGGTTTGCCCCATGGCCGAGGAGGAGGAGGAGGAGGAGGAGGA